TATTTCGTGGGTCTGGCAGGAGTTTTATACATTTTGGGGTCCAAGACTGCTCTCAGGTAAGATTTTCATCCACAAACAAATGGACAAACCGAATGCATGAACCAGTGGCTTGAGGCGCCCCTCCGCTACCTCTGTTCGTCACATCCATCGTCTTGGAGTACTCAGTTGCCTTGGGTCAAATATGCACATAATTGTCACCCTTCCTCTGCCACTGGTCTGTCTCCAGTTGAGTCCTTTGTTTGTTCCCAACCTCCTCTGCTTCCATCTCACAAGAGAACATTGCAGTAACCTCCTGCGTCGAACCTGTCAGTGGAAACAAATTAATGTATTGCTAATCGGAAAAGGATTCCTGCTCCCCACTATTCACCTGGACAAAAGGTTTGTCTATCAACTTGTGACATTAACCTAAGGGCTTCTAATTACAAACTCTTTCCCAGATTCATTGGTCCATTTGAAATCAAGGCACTGCTCAATCACTGTGGTTCACCTCAAGCTGCTGGGTTATTTAAAGATTCACCCTATTTTTCACATCTCACTGATCAAGCCTGTCGTGTCTAGTCCGGGGTCTCTTGCAAGTACCAATGCTCTCGGATCTCACTCACATTCTCCTGGACCTTTGGGATACAGTCTACAAAGCCCAGTGAATGGAGCACCTGCAGATCCATTCTACCTCCCCTTCAACTCTCAAGTAAGAAAATCAATCACTCATCGATTGTCATCAACAAACTCCTTCTTATATATCTGCTTTCTCCCCTCAGACCAACCAGTAAGTGCAACTAACTTCCTGCAATTCTCATCAAGTGCATTTTGCATAACAATCTCCAGAGACATCACTATTATCACAACACATTGGTAACTTTAAAGTCCTATGTATTTATGCACCTTTTGGTTGCAATTTTCTGCGTGCGTCATAACATTGGCATTCAGATGCCAGATGATCATTCATTAACAAAGATGCTGATTCACAAACGCTAAACTGTAACCAATTAGTGAGCTTCAGTTATTATTTAAAAACCTTTTTGAGTTCGTGACAGAGCTAGTGTACACAGATTTTTTTCAGAAAGAAAAGTTGGTACTTTGCTCAACAGATGCATTAATATTTTAGTACTAATACTGTGGCTAACCTCTACATGTTTGTTTTTCAAAGTCAGTTTCAGCTTATGTAAGATGTTTTAAAATTATTTACCAGGTTGTTGTGTCACAAAATCCTGAATAATACTGCAGAATTTAATGTTTGATTGATGAATGATTTGATATAGTTCTTACTCTCTAAAAGGGTTTGTCTCTGGGTCTTTTTTTAATGATTCTGATAAGTTTTTGATAAGTTTTTTCCAATGATAATGCTGTGTCAAGAAAGGCATTAAAGCGTGTGACAGAAGGTCTCTCTACATATTTTAATAAGATCTTCATTTTTTAGAGTTTGGTTATAGATGCTGAAATTCTTAGTAGAGAGGGACATTTGCTGCAAAACTAACAGAATACCACATATTTTAGTAATTTAACTGAAAAAGAAAACTACTCTTATATAGAATGATTAAAATAAGATCAATATTTGTTTTCTTTTCACTTTCATTATTGCTATTTAAAGTGAGATTCAAAATAACATGAAACCAATAAAACAAGCTGATTGTAATATTTAAAAGGTAAGCTGGTTAAAAGATACATGGATGTAGTGTAGAGTAATTGCACTTAATAGTTGGTCAGAACTTATTTTCCATGAACTACAGCACCAGTGCAGCATAGCAGGGGATCACATTGTGGCTTGGCTGTGCTTTAGAGGAATGTAAAGCTCTCTCAGCTATGATGATTTTCTTACATGACAATGGTATGAATCAGGTTTGTGGCGCAGCTTGCAGTCAGCTACTGCTGTTCTGGGACAGCAGTAGCTGTTGTATTAAACCATTGTACAATACAACAAACAAAATAGGGCACAGTGTACATCTGCCCTATTAAGTATCTCAACTTCATCTACGTTCATCACTCCATATACATGTATAAAAAATAAACTATTCCTCGTGGGATCATCCTCAAGCATCCTCAAGCTCGGGTCCTCTACCAGAGGCCTGGGAGTTTGAGGGTTCTGCGCAGTATCGTAGCTTTTCCTAGCACTCTTCTGGACAGAGACCTCTGATGTTTTACCTGGAATCTGCTGTAGCCACTCTCCCAGTTTGGGGGTCACAGCCCCCAGTGCTCCAATTACCACTGGCACCACTGATGCTCTTACTTTCCACATCTTTTCTAGCTCCTCTATAAGCCCTTGGTATTTCACTGAGTTCAGAGGGCATCCAATCACACAGCTGGCCTTCCTGATCAGCTTATCCAGTTGCTTTCTCTCAGCTACAGATAAGCCACAGCTCCAACAGACAGCTCCATAGAAGATGGCTGATGAAAAAGAGTCATAGAATGTCTTAAGGAGCGCCCCCTGTTCTCCAAAAGACCTTAGTCTCCTCAGAAGGAAGAGTCTGTTCAGTCCTTTTTTATACAGAGCCTCTGTGTTGTGAGTCTAGTCCAGTTTGTTATTCAGATGAACACCTAGGTATTTATAGGAGTCCACTATTTTAATGTCCGGTCCCTGCATGTTCACCGCTCCAACACTAGCTCGTTGGTTTTCTATCTGAGACACAGCCCTGTGCCCTCACGTACTGGGGGCGGCCAGTGAGGTAGTCCAGAACTACTTGGGCATGTGCTGGTCCACTCCTGACAGCTCCAGCTTGTCCCTTGGGAGTCCTGGCTGGATGGTGTTGAAAGCACTGGAGAAATCAAAGAACATTATCCTTACAGTGCTTCCAGGTTTCTCTAGGTAAGTCAGAGCTAAGTCAGATGATGGCATCGTCTGCCCCAATCCCGGGATTGTAGGCGAACTACAGTGGATCCAATGAAGCCTTCACCAGGGGGCATAAATGGTATAAGACCAACCTTTCAAGGGTCTTCATCAGGTGTGAAGTCGGCGCTACCGGCCTGTAGCTGCTGAGGTCCTTTGGATGTTTTGTCTTTGGCACCAGTACCACACAAGAGTTCATCCACAGCTGTGGTACTTCTCCCAGCCTCAGGCTTAAGTTAAACATGTAGCTCAAGCTGCTACACAGTTAATCTGCACAACATCTCTGAAGCCTGGAGCTGATGCCATCTTGACCCGCAGCCTTTCGCATATTAGTGAGAATCAAAATACTGGCAAAAGGGGGAAAATGCAAATGGCCTTAATGTAGCTATTCAGCCATGGAAAATCATTCCTTGAAGCTTCCTTTTCACTATTCCTGAGCTAATCAGAAGACAACATGAAGTTTGGAGGTCTGTGCTGCACTCTAAGCCAACAGGGAAACATTTAAAAGTGTCTCTATTTAAAACAATATGCATGCCTGGTGCTAGATTGTATAAACCTGCAGCTGTGGACATGATAGTAATCAGAACACCTGATTTTGATATATTTAGGGGGCTGACCAACCACCTTTGGCAATGCAGTCTACCGAAAGGGATAGCTTTGCAAAAACTTCAAGGTGTATTCATAAAGACAGGCAGGATTTTTTTCAAGATGACATTGTGAATGTTGATGCCCAGATCTAGTTAAATACACATTTCAGCTCATTTGTTTTGGTGCACTTAAAAGAGTTTTACTTGTATGTATTTCTGAGTGTTTTTTTCTTTTTTCTTTACAAGAATGATTGCCTGTTCATTACATTATGAAATAAAATCTGTTTGCTATGATAGTTTTAAACCCCGCTACCACAGGTACATGTAGCGTATTTATGGTAATTAAACTGCATAATTGGCACATAGTTTGTTTTTTCTCACTGGTTCACTTTGCAGTAAAACTTTAATCAGTGCAGTAGACAGAATGTAGAGAATTATTTATTTTTTTTGCAAACAGATGTATTTCACACAGTGGCATGCATGGGACTGGGGTTAAGAGCGGACGCCCCCCTTGTGGCTCAGTTGTTGAAAAATGCATTCTAAAGTGCTCTCTAAGGGGCCAAAACATGTGCTGAAGTACCCCCTTAAGGACAAAAACGTGTGCTAAAGTATCCCCTAAGGGACTTTGAAGCCAAAACAAGTGTTAAAGTGGGAGCCAGAAAGCGTGGTATAGTACCGTCTACGTTGGTATACTATATGTGTACCTTTTTCCTTTCTGCCTCTGCCCTTTAAAAAAATCTGTGTACATTAATGGCTTGGTTAATGGCAGTTTTTCTGTTTCATTTCTACATTTTCTTTTTCATGGCAAAATAGAGAATTGTTTCCTTTTGACACATGTTTTTTTAATACCTATATAATATCAACTTATGTAGTATAACTAACCTTATAATGATTGATTTAAAGATGTTTTCCCTTTTTGAGGTTGATTATACAAAATGCACTTTAATGAGTTTTGAAAGTAAAGGTTTCAAAGCCTTTTTCCAGATTAGATGGTCCAAGTGTATCAATCATGAACTCAATGGGCTAGGAGTAAGACATACTTATATAAAAATCCACCATGTGAAGTTGTTTTTGTCACATAAGAGATAGACAAGCTGAGTACAGGGACCGCTTTGTGGCACGGTGTGAAATCAATCATCTCATACTGAGTGGGATCAAAAAAAAAGGGAAGATTAGATTAAAAGAGAAACTATGTTGGTGAAAGAAGTTTATTTCTGTAAAAAGGCCTTCCATTTGGTCCTTGGCACCACTGAAAAATTAGTTGTACAAGGTGATGACATTAGGAATCATAGCAGGGCACTATTAGGGAGGAATAAACTGGATATCTTTGGAATTAACATTTGCTGCCAATAAAATTTGTTCTTTAAATGAAGTTATTTATCAAAGTTATTCTACTATTTTTTTCTTTACCTTAAGCAGAATTACTTAATTAGTTAATATTTTCCTGTACTGTGCACTGATATTCAACATGTCAGGGGGTGGCTGGTTCCACAGACGGTCCTCCACTCACAGTGCAGGTCCAGCCCTTTCAGAAAACCCTCCTCTGTCATAACATCCCGTTCACGTTTCAGTGGTTTCTTTCTTACCACCAACCTCCACAGGACAGGAGTCAGCCCTGAGTCAGAGCTTTGGCTGAGAGCAGGTCAGCTATGGATGATCTGAACAAGGCAGCGGTCACACAGACTGAGGGGGTAAAGGTTGACCTGAAAGCAGCTAAAGCAGACACATCTGAAGGCTTGGGCTCCTGTCCCAGGACAACAAGGTGCTCCCTACCGCAAAAGTACCGAGATGAGTTGGTACAGCTGTTTAAACTGGCGGGACCAGTGGTAAGACTAATTTATTTTTTGTTTGCATGGTTTTAATGTGTACATTGAATATTCGCCAGTAACCAGGGATAACACTATAATTGTCTTTATTAGTGTTGAACATGTTTTTTCTTTGATTGTACCAATCAGATGCATTTCACAACAGGATGCTGGACATATTTTGGGTTCTTTATTTCATGTGTAACACTTTGGTTCATAAATTATATATAAATAATAGTTGTATATTTGTATAGTTATATATTTCATTGCATCTGTTTTCAGCTCTAAGTAACACTCTTACCGGTAACTCAAATTTGAGAAACTTTAACCTACAAAAATCGAACAAATCAGGAAGGGGGCTATTTCTTCCAGCTTCTCAGACATCTGCATTGAAAAATCTCCCCATTCCATTTTGCCAACGGGATTTGGTTTTGTCAGATTAAATTAAGAGCCAATTTGAACAGCAAATTTCAATGGTTGCAGAAGATTTTCAGTTGGATTTAGAGGTGGACCTTGACTAGGCTGTTGCATATAAATACCATGCTGTGATCTGAACCTTTCCTTTAAGGTTTTGGATGTTTAGTTATTTTTCTCTCTTAAAGGTGAAACCCAACTCCAGTCCAGTCTTTGTCTTTTGCAGCTGTTTTATTTTTTCCAACACTGTTCTCAAAATCTTGTGTTTCACAAATAAATAATAAAGCTATTTTAGCAAGTTTCATGTTCCCTCAAATCTGCATAGTATCTTTTCTATTTTTACATTTTCTTACCTTTTTTTATTATGCTTATCTAACTGTTTCTGCATGATTCTACTACCTGTCCATTTTATTGCTGATACACCTGAAACTATACTCACTGAGGAGCAACAGAGAACATTTCTGTTTTATTCCATGTTATTTCATCCATCCAGTATAGGCTTGTCTTGATGTCTGCTTAAGAAATAGCCATTATTAGTTGAACAAAATTGCTCTTTAAAATGTAGAGTTAATAAATGATAAATTAACTATTATCATAACTATTTTAGTTACAGCCTACTTTTTTAGGCTGGAGAAGGACTCTTATCTCGGCACAGACCCATTAGTTTACTAAAACCGGACAAATATAAATATATGTACCTCGAGAGGTTTGGCAAGCCAAATGTTCTGGAGAAATCGACTTGTGCTTGGTGAGCTGTGCTTGTCATGTGCCAGGAGACATTTTTTATCATCATGTTTGGGGTCTCTGAGGTTTTTTGTCTGATAGTTTTCCGCTACAAATCCCATTCTGCACATGGGCTTAGAAAAAGTATTCACCAACCTACAACAGAACCTTCTCACAAGTGTGCTGTTTAATGGAGCCTAGGCAGAAGTTCAACTGAAGAAACGATTACTTACCCTAATCCACCTCCATCACAGGCCAATCAGTTTTGAAACATACCTCCACAAAAAGCCAATCAGCATAGTTCATCTTAAAAGTTCTCCAAATCCACATCTCAGTCTGGTACCCAAAGTGCAGGCAGTGGTTGCGGTTCAACCCACCTCCACCCCCTTCTCCACCATCATAGCCAAAGCTAGTGTGTGAGTGTAATTCCTCCCGGACTCTTACTGCGTTCCCTGTCTCATCTCAACCACTCTGGCAGAGGACTACCATGTTGAGCCTGGTTCTGCGAGAGTTTCTTCCCAAGGGGGAGTTTTTTCCTCTCCACTGATTTTTACCTCTCCACTTTACTCCTGTTTAAAATTCAGTGCTAATGTTTCCGGCCGAGGTCTGACCACCAAAGACGAAAGTAACTGTATCAAAACAATTCTTCTAATTTTCTTTTCTTTCTTTGTGAGTTTTTCAGATTGAACTGTAGATGGCAGATGCATCCCACAGCATGATGCTGCCAACAAAATGTTCATCCGGCATTATGTGGGGTGTTAAGGGTTTGTTTTCTACCCCATATACCCCAGAATAAAAAATGCTGGTCTCCAATAAACTAAACACCAAATGCCTATTCTGTCTGTTGCATAGATGTTATTAGGTTCCAAAGACTAAATTTGTGGAGTTCCACACTTTACAGATTTTCATTTGTTGAAATGTTTTTAAAAACTTGTAAATTTTTATTGTTTAAATTTCACAATTTCTTTGCTACTTTGTGTTGGTCTTTCTTATTTTATCTGAAAACATAATTAGGGTTGGTGTTTGTAACACAGCAGTAAGGAAAACAGTTGAGACATTAATAATTTGTCGCAAGTGGTGCTATCTCCAGTTGTCAATGGATGAGAGGCGTGGTACACCCTGGACAGGTCACCAGTCTATTGCAGGGCAACACAGAGACAAACAGGACAAACAACCATTGAAACACACACTCACGCCTAAGGGGAATTTAGAGAAGCCTATTAAACTAACAGTCATGTTTTTGGACTGGGAGGAAGCCGGAGTACCCAGAGAGAACCCATGAAAGACCAGGCTGGGAAACTAACCCGGAACCTTCTTTCTGTAAGGCAGCAGTGCTACCCACAGCACTACTGTGCAGCCCAAAGTGAAACATATTGAAGCAAAAATTCAATGCAAAAGTACTGTGTATATTGTGCACTGAAAATAGGTCTCTAGCTTAAAAGAACTGACAACAATGATAGGCACAAATCAACCCATAGTTTAAATTCAAACCAAATCTTTCACATGATATTTATGACTCATAAGATGTTTTCTAATTTTTTCATTCATTTATTTATTTGGCAAACAGCTTTTGTTTATGTCCATTTCTATGCTTACATATTTTAGGTTATTTCCCAGCTGATGATCTTTATGATCAGTTTTGTCAGCATGGTATTCTGTGGCCACCTGGGAAAAACTGAACTAGCCGGGGTTTCATTGTCCATTGCGGTGAGGAAACCTCTTGTAATCCTGTTTTTTTCTGTTTGGTTTCACCTAACAGTTGAAGCTAATAATGAGTGTCCGCTGCCTTGTTTTATGTAACCTTTTGTTTTACTGCAGGTGGTTAACGTCACTGGTATTTCCATTGGCACCGGTTTGTCATTAACCTGCGATACGCTCATATCCCAGGTACTGTCCTGTGCAGAGGTTGTTCTTTCACTTTATTTATGTAACCCAGTCAATCCCAGCAGTTGCAGCTTGGTTCCCAGGTTATCCAGGGTTGCCATTTAAAACAGCTCAGCAGTGAGCTTTTGGATTTAGCTTTCCTGAACCTCTCACACCTTTCCTTGTAGCTGCAGTCTTGATGTTTTAGCTGAAAGTCTGCCTGTTTCACACAGACCTATGGGAGCGGTAACCTGAAGCGTGTCGGTGTGATTCTTCAAAGGGGGGTTCTGATTCTTCTGCTGGCCTGTTTTCCCTGCTGGGCTGTCCTCATCAACACTGAGCCCCTCCTGCTGGCCGTCAAACAGAGTCCAGAGGTTGCCAGGTCAGCTCTCAGCAGCAAAGCATGCTGTGTCACAATGAAATCCTTTAATCAACTACTGTAGTTGTCTGTTTGACCTTTTCTGTTGCTCATTTCTGTCATTCATTACCATTCTATATAGTTTGCATAATATCTTCTGTAATGTAAAAAAAAAAAAAAAAGCAGCTCCAAGATTGGTTTTGATTCCAGTCGACAAAAATAAGAACGAGTCAGGACTTGGCTCACAATTCCCATCAGGGTCTGGACCTGAACCATCACAGTCACTGAAATAATTTACTATTTTGGTTATTAAGACATTTTCTATCTATTAATTTTGTTTTACCTCTGAAAAAGTACAAATTAACATGTAATGTAAACACAAAAATCTACAATGTTTCAAATAAATTTACCCTGCAGATAGTGCAGTTATTTGTTGTTTTAAGGCTTTGATTGAGGATGAAAATGCAAGTCTTGTACAGTAATTGGGTAAATCTGATCTGATAATTCATGTTTGTTGAATCAAACTCACGTCTAAAAGTTGCATAATACGATCCCTCAGGAACTGGAATTGCCTAACAATGGTCTAGAATATGGGTGTTACCTGTGCAAAAAGTACCCTCAGAGAATCCTTAATTGATGGGTCAACAGTCTATTAACGGGATGAAACTTAAAGATATAAAGGGTAAACATTTCATAGCTAACATCTGTATTATTTCACTTCTTGAGAAATTGCCATTAACTTTCTTCCACCCAACTTTCTATTAATTTGCTTCCATGCAGACCTCTGTATACAGCCAATGTGTAGCAATGAAGTTTTATGACCTATCCTCATTATGGAAGGATCACTCACTGACTGTGTTTTTTGTTTTTATGTTATGTATTTTCAAGAAACTACATTTTGATTTTTAATTGGTCTCTAGTCCATGATAATCAACAAAAAGCTGAAATAATGAAATGAAGTAAACCAGTTTGCTATTATTGAAGATTTGAGATTAACTAATTTAAATGAATTATAATGGTTAAGTTATCAACATTCTCTAATGTACTGAGATTTATCTGTGGTTTAGTTCAACTTTTTTAAAGAAATGTTATATCTCTTTCTCCTAGAAAATTTTTCAATGTGAAAACATTTCATACATTTATCAAACTCCTCTGTTCTGCTCTTTTCTCCACATGAAGACTCTCCCAGCTGTATGTGAACGTTTTCATGCCTGCTTTACCAGTGAGTTCTAGTATTCAGCTGTTTCATTTCCCCAAATAGATGTTTGTTTATGAAATTTAAAATACTTTGCTTTTCTGTTATTGTTTTATTTTGTTTTGCTTTTTTTTTTGCTTTCTGAAACAAAGTCATTGGTCAAAGGTGATCAAAGGCATTGCTTTTAGCTCTATAATTTACATTTCAAAGCTTTATTATTTATTAGCGGTTGCCCAGGTTCTTTAAAACTTTTATTAAGTTTGAAATTCAAAAGAAGAAAAAAAGTAAAGATTATTTTTAATTAGCATAAATGCCACACCTTTCCATGTTGCAGGACATAATATAATCAGTCATTTTAATGCTTAAAGTGTTTCTCTTTTATAGTGACTTTAATGCTGCAGTGTTTTACTTTCTTCAGGCTGCCTTTATGTACCAGCTGCAGGGGAGGTATCTCCAAAACCAGGTACAGTTATTGGAAGCCCAGAAACCCTTAAAGTTAAGAAAATCAGTTTCTGTTTCATACAAATATATCTAACCACAGATTAGTATTTTTACAGGGCATTATATGGCCTCAGGTTGTAACTGGAGCAATCGGAAATGTCCTGAACGCTATAATCAACTATGTGTTCCTGTTCCCTCTGGATCTGGGTGTTGCGTAAGTTCTCCATGAATGCCAAAAATGCTAGTTTTACAGAATAGAAAACATACGGAAATAACAATTTATTGCATTTCATATATCTTTAACAGCAGCAAAAAATATGTATACAGATATATATATATTGTCTGGAAAGCTTCCGTTGGTTTGGATCAAATTGTTTTTTTTTATAACCCTACTATTTTACATCCTCTGTCTCCCAGTGGGTCTGCAGCTGCCAATGCTATCTCCCAATATGTGCTGGCTGTGGTCTTATACACCTACATCTGCCTGAAGGGTCTACATAAGGCTACATGGGGAGGTCAGTTTGTTATATTTTCTTCCTGAGGACCATAATCACAGCAGCTTCCATTTTTCAGTTCTATGGTCTATAAAAGCAGTAGTTCTCCTTCATCACCTTGTTGTTGGTGGTCAGCTGTAGTCATAATGCAATGTAGATAAAAAGTAGAGGGTAATGTAACATAGAGAAAACTTATGTGATGGCAAAATTAGTTCCTTAGCAGTTTTTTTTCTTGGCAGAGGTATTTATATTTCTTTAATGTTAATGTTGTAATATTTGAACTGGTTACTACGACCTGCACACCAATAGGGTTTTCATTATGTCATTTTTTTTGTATTACTTGGATTTACTTGTTGTATTTTACTGTCTGAAATGATAAGCTTATGGAAAGTGTTCAGAAAATAAATATCTAACTGAAGTCATTTAGTTAGATATTTATCAAAACAGTCCCAATTAAAGTAACTTACATCATCCACACCTTTGCATTTCATTACTGTATTTACTCTATTTGTATTATGATCTTATCTGACAAACACAGAGCAGTTAATGATTCTGCAATAGAAGGAACGCTATATTAAAATTCTTAAAATCTAAATTATGTTTTACTAGAAATATATTTCGCTGCTATCTCAGCTGCCAGTTTATTTAGGGTTCGCTGTACTAACTTTGAGGTTTCTTCTAGAGTTTAAACTACTTTTTTACACAGGAACATCAGTGAACAGCATTATCACAAGTCCCTTGCTGTAGGTTTTTACTCCCAACAATTTTCTTCCTGCCTTTCCCTTTCAAATCATCCTTACAGCATTATGCTGCCACCACCATGCTTCACAATGGATGTGGTATACTCATGATGATGTACAGGTTACAGCTAGTAATTTTTTATGCTATGCCAAAGTAAACCTCTATTAAACTTTCCAAACCCGATAAATACTGTGTGTGGTATGCACAATTAATACAGTAGCTGTATTTTTATAATGTCATTAAATTATATGTGGACTAATTTAAACAAATATGTGATGTTTGAAGGCCAGTGATTATCTGGATTATTTTGATGGGTTTAACTGTAGAGGGGTTGATTAGCAATGCCATGTTTTGCAGATTATTACCTAAACAGATTTGTAAGCCATGTGAGAAAAGTATGAAAAGTCTTTACTAGTCAATGTTAATTAAGGGATTAGTAAGTTTTTGTACAATTTAAATGAAAGGTTTTGACATCCAGGTTGGTCTCTGGACTGCCTCCAGGAGTGGGGATCTTTCATCCAACTTGCAATCCCCAGCATGCTCATGCTCTGTCTAGAGTGGTGGTTGTTCGAAGTTGGAGCATTCCTGGCTGGAGTGATCAGTGAAGTGGAGCTAGGAGCAAATTCCATCATCTACGAACTAGCTGTTGTTGCTTACATGGTAACTCTTCCAAGATCTTCTTCAGTTCTCTTTAAGCTTTTCTTATTATGGTTTCATAAAACTGAGCTTAGATCTTTTTTTTCTGGTACCTACGGGGCTTTCAATGTTCTTCCCACAGTTTCCTTTAGGATTTTCTGCTGCTGCCAGTGTTCGAGTTGGGAACGCTCTGGGTGCAGGGGACATCCAGCAGGCCAAACTGTCCTGCAAAGTCCCCATTGTCTGTGCAAGTAAGAGCAACACAACTATTTTATTTTCATCTCTCATATACACACATCAACAAAACTGTTGGTACCCCTTATTTAATGAAAGTAAAGCCCACAGTAGTCATAGAAATAACTTGAATCTGATAAAAGAAATATGATATCTATGAAAATGAAAAAAAATAATGTTGGACACAGCTTCAACAGAATTATTTAAAAAATAAACTCATGAAACAGGCCTGGGCAAAAATGGCATTGCCTTTAATTTATATCTTGTTGCAAAACCTTTTGAGGCGTCGCCACGATCAAATGATTCCTGTAACTGTCAATGATATTTCTGCTCCACTCAGCAGGTATTTTCTCCCTACCTCACGATTCCTGATCGGGAGGTGGTCGTGAGAGGCTGATCCAACCTCATTACCCCCTGTACACTACACAATGCCCGACACATGATCAGGCTGAAAGTCGGCCAATTGAAAAAATTCTCGAACGACTGGAAAATCGGGCAGAAAATTGCACAGTGTACGCCGGGCTTTAGAGGGGGTACTGGAGAGTGCCACTTCTGAGGACTTCATTTTTCTGTCTATGACAGAAATCTGTGAGAGTTTTACACTCAGTGACAGTGAGACCTGTGGGGGCATGGTTGGGAGGAATGGCTTACCTGGCCTGAACTCGAGTGATGTTCTGTTGTTGGACTTCTGTGCTCGTCATGGACGGTCCATAGCAAATATCATGTTCAAGCATAAGGGTCTGCATATTTCCTATTGGCACCAGGGCATAGTTCAGTGATCGACTTTGTTGTTTTTTAGTCTGACCTGTGGTTGCATGTCTTGGAAACTCAGATGTACTGAAAAGAGGGGTGGAGCTCTCCCACGACCACTAACAGGTAGTGAACTGGCTCTGATGGTGGAGGAGGACGCTGGTCAGACTTGGTAGGCCCAAATGTATTGTGAGGGTTTGCTGGGAACATCTGATAGAGTCCCCCGTGAGACAGAGCTTTAACTCCCACCAATGGGAAAGCTTTGAACCCGGTCCAAGGGAGGCAGGGGACATTGAGTTTGAGTGGATCATGCTCCGTGTCTCTACCATTTAAGGCGGCTAGTCTGAGCAGCATTAAAATCTGGAAACTTTTTAGGAGGTAGTTCAGTTTTTAAAACGCTTTTGCTTTAATTATTTTTTTTCTTAGAAATTCCTAAAATGCAGCTTTAGCTTTAACTGTGGTTAAAAATCCTCATGGAGAAAATATGTGTAATTGTGACACAATGAATTATTCATTCATTTATTCAACCCCTAGTATTTAATTTCCCTTTAAGATTAATAAAGTACCTTTGAATTGAAATGAAATTTCATAGCATCTGACTAAGTAGTTTTCATGGGCATTTTTTTCCAGATATTTTAATTTCAAAACAAAACTTTTAAAAGAGTTGTCCTTTCTTCTCTTTTTTTCCAGGTATAATCGCATGCATCGTTTCTGCAGTGCTTGCAACCTGCAAAGATGTCATTGGTTATATTTTCACCTCAGATGAGTAAGTAAAGAACTGAAACAATGCCGTCAGACATCATTTTTATTATTTCATTTTCTCACTTATCAAACACTGAGTGGGTCAGCATGCTTCATGCTCTTTTTCTACTGTTTTTTATTGATCTGATTATTCATCTCATCTATTAAGATTCTATTTACCTAGATTATGTTTTTTGTTAAGTCTTAAAGGTTTTAGTAACTAAATAAAGCATCGCTATCTTCCAATGTTACAAATACCGTAGCTTATTTATTGGATTTATCATCTGTCTAAAAATATTTGAATAAAAGAAATTAGATGTTCAAAGAAATTACACGTTCAGAGTCTCAATATGCTTGTTTTTTTTCCATAGAGACATTTTACGGAGGGTTGCCGAAATCATGGTCGTTTTCTGTTTTACACATCTGTGTGATGCTGTTGCAGTAAGTCACAGCTTCTCTGCAACATTTCAAAATAATATTTGCATGTGAAAAATGTGACTTGACCAAATAGACATTTCCTCCTGAAAGGGTGTTACTGGGGGTGTTGTCAGAGGAGCAGGTAAACAGTTGGTTGGTGCTCTGTGTAACCTGGTGGGCTACTACTTTATGGGCTTTCCCATTGGTGTTTCCTTGATGTTTGCAGCCAAGATGGGGATTTTAGGTAAGTCCTGGCTGCTTGTTATAATCAAAAGTAAAAATTAACTTCTGCTCTCACAAAACCCAGTTATCGTCCCTTCTCCACAGGGTTTTGGACAGGACTTACAGTTTGTGTGTTGATGCAGTCAACTTTCTTCCTCATATTTCTATCCAAACTTGATTGGGAGAAGGCTGCACAAGAGGTGCGTATTTACTTACCTAGTGCACAACTATTTAGATGGTTTGTTTATTTATTCATTAAAGCAATAAACAAAGAATGGATGAATAGGCTGACTATCACTATATTAACCACAGCAGCCAGCTTCTTAGTTTGGGGAACCATGCAGGAATGGAGTTCAATGTTTTATCTTTTATATGCAGAGGTGTCAAGTAACAATGTACACATACTTCGTTACCTTACTTAATTTGAAATTTTGACTATCTAAACTTTACTGAAGTAATTATTTTTTTTAGACATGTTTTTACTTCTACTCCTTACATTGTTTTGCAATTATCTCTACTTTCTACTTCTTAGATTTTGAAAATAGACCCATTAGTTTTGTTTCATTTAAGCACATTTTTGTTATGTCCTTTTGTTATTTAGAAAAGATAAAAACCATCAAAATAATTTGTTTCCCCCAGACAATTAATTTCTTTGTAATTGAACTTGGACTTGGACTAGATAACAAAAGTATAGTTTTTCAAGATGATGCAATGTTAACATTGTCACTGTTGCCATTAGTTACAAAGCTAAGAATATTAAGTAAGGCCAATTTATGCTTCTGACGCATAGCCCTGCAACCGTCAAATCTGTCTCTGTGCGCGACCACGCACACCTCAAAAAAATCCTGACTATGCATCAGACGGTCGCAAACCCGTGCAGAACTCAAGCAGCAATGCGCAGACAAAAGGCAGCTGTGATTGGTCCTTGGTATGCCCTTGCGGCTGTCTTTGTGGTTGTCCTTCTCGATTCGGGGCCAGGGCACGCAATTTTTAAAAACCGAGGAAAAACTACAACGGACAACTACAACAAAAGCTTAATCGGTCTTTTTGCCAACTCAATTAACAAAACCTGTTCCTCTTCTATGTCTAGCAATTCTAGAGCCATCTCCATGACCAGATATCTTGCAGATGCGCCATTGTCGTTTTGGAAGATATACACTCCCGCCGGCACCACCGAAGTCCTCGTGACAATCCGCCGAAGTTCTCATGAGTTCTTGAATAGGCTCTCCCTTGTGCTTTGGACTGACAGTGCAGAAGTATACCCGGAAAACTGGTTCGCGACCAGACCCAAGCGACATTTGATGTGTGCTGTTGCAGAGGTCTAATCTGCCCTTTAGGAAGTTGTCAAGGGAGCAGTAGATAGCACAGCTGCCTTAAAACAAGGAGGTTCTGGGTTCAAATTCCAGCTCGGGGTCTCTCTGCATGGAGTTTGCATGTCTTCCCTGAGCATGTGTGGGTTCTCTCTGGGTACTCTGCCTTCCTCCCACAGTCCAAAAACATGAGCCATTAGGTTAATTGGCTTCTCTAAATTCTCCTTAGGTGTGAGTGCCTGAATGGTTGTTTGTCACGTTTGTCTCTGTGCTGCCCTGCGATAGACTGGCGACCTGTTCAGGGTGTACCCTGCCACTCGCCCGTAGATAGCTAGAGATAAGCACCAAAACCCCCCCGCTTGGGACAACCATGACAGAAATAAGATGGATGGAAGTTCGTACTCGTAATCGTACTCGTCGTCTCCCGCTTTATCCGGAACCGGGTCGCGGGGGCAGCAGACTAAGCA